TTTGGAGTTTTGGCGATGGCCAGATTCTCTACTCAAGACATCAGTGTATGTGGCTAAAGCGCTCTCACTCAAACTTCGCCGGCTTTAGCACCAGTGAGGCGGTTGAGAGAGTAGCTCAGGGATTTGGGTTCCGCGCCTGATTGTATATATACGGTTAATAGGCATGACTGTATTTTTATGTTTTTAATTTTCTTATATTTAGGTTATTTTATTTTTTTATTGAGCATAGTTTTTATTTATTATTATTTAGTTATTATTTTACTTTTGTTAATTTTTTTTTATATACGGTGTGAATGTGTTCATTTATCAATATAATTATTGTCCCCGTGACAGAATATTATATGTTTAAATAAATAAATAAATAAATAATAATAAAAACTCGATGCACCCAGTAAAGCAGCAGCCAGCAATAAACCTAGAGAATGGGACGTCTATTCATACCCGTAAAGTCGTCTTCTCACTGTCCACTCTAAATTTTGTAAGCTCCTGATCCGCTGTAGGAAACAACGCAGGCTGTTCCTGTAAAATTTCGATCTTGAAAGTAGTTAATTTGTTAAAATCTTTCTTCACGGTAGGAAGTTGAACTTATTTCTTCTTCTGATATGCCCTGCGGTCTCACAATACTTATAATTGTCCGGAAAATAACATATTGTAACCACTGGAGCCACTATGAAATGTGGCTTTGTAGAAACCCTTCTTCCGTCAAAGGAAGAACACGGATCAATTTCTCTTTGATCAATTCTTTTGTTTTTTCCTTCAAAACGTCATAAATTACATCAAAAGCTAAAAAGTGTGGCCTAAAACAACGGTTTAAACACGTTAAAATGCGTGGATATATTAAAAAAAAATAATGAAGACCTGTTATAAAAAGTCCTTTTGGTTTTTTAAATTTGTGTTATATTATAATTCATTCAATACAATAGTTAATATTTTTATTTTATTCTACACATATCAACGCAGATAAAAAACAATTGATATTCAGTAACTCAAAAAATTCGGGTAAAGCAAAGGCAAAAGTAAATAACATAAATTTTGTTTGAAATTATATTAAAAAATGTTGGGTCTTATTTATGCCTGCCAGTTATTTTATCTATTAACAATTATTTATTGATAAATTAAAAAATATGGGTCAAAGAAACATATGATTTATTTAATAGGAACTTTTTATACATAATCGATTTCATTAACATATTTATAATGAGTTACTCCAGGTACCTCTGGAGGCCAAAATTCTAGTAATACGAAATTATCAAAAACGTCATTTGAGTTTCTCTGCCTCCACATGAAGTCACATAAATACGAGTCTAACATAGAGCGTGAGTCCTACCGAAATTTTACATAGTATTTTAAATTTTTAAATAATATTTAAATATGTGATTCAATGGTATAAAGTTTAATAACAACTGTTACTAAATATCATTGAAAAATCACTGGTTGGCCTAATATAAGCAAGATCCAAATTTTTTTTATGGCTCCTAGAGCCAATAGGAAAGAACGACGAGATATATTCCTAATAGTTTTGATGTAATATAACAAAAAAAAAAAAAAAAAAAAAATTGGTTGAAATCAGTGAGCCACAGACTGTATCCTGTCCTTGTGAGTCTAATCTAATAGCAATTGCTTTGTACAAACCAGATAGCGAAGTTTGGACGCCGATGCAAAAGTAAAAACATCTCAAAGGACTGAAAAAAAAATGAAATATCAAGAATGATAAATTGACTGAAAAACTGATTCCATTCGACCTATATCGTTTATTTTTGACTTCGTATCGTATTGGAAGTAACTTTGAAGTTGTTCGGTAGAGTAAAGTCTGTGCAAAGTCAATTTTTATTATTAAATTTAGTCAATTTTATGTAAAGAATGTTCTTTTTTCCTACAGTTCTTTTGATATTCGTCGCTTCTGAGAAATCGTCTCTTTCTGCATCATCACATTCGTAGGAGCTGAATTCATATCATTCATCGTTGGTTATTATTATTTTCGAATTTCGTACTTTCTTGGCTTTTACAAGAAATATTTACCTGCTCCGACAAAGATCAAGGGTTAGGCTCAAAAGTTAAACTATGTTTAAGAACTTCCTGACGATGTTCGCTATCCCTAGGAGAACTGCTTTTTGTCCTTCTTCCAAAACCTTCTCTGGCGGTTTCAACAGAGCGAATGGTATCATCGTCTGAGATGAGGCCGTTGCTGGAAATTACAGTTGGATATACTTGTACTTGATTCAGTCTGTAAAGTTGCCGAAGCTCTTTGGTACAAATTGTGATATTTCCTAATCTTTTCAGAGATAGTCTTTCTAACATTATAATCGGTTGGGGCTGCGATATAAATGACGTAGCAACTTTTTGTCTTCCGATCAATTAATACTATGTTCGGTTTGTTATTTACTACCGTTTGGTCTGTAATTGTAGATCGATCTCAATATATTATTCTATTATCTTTTGACAGCACCGGTTCGGGCTCGTATCGATAATAAGGAACCTCGTCTGTTGTCATGATATTTAATGGCTTGGTGAACAATCTTAGCCAGGTTATTGTGTCTCATCAGGTATTCTTTACCTGCAATTGGTTAACATCCCGACGAAATATGCTGGATTGACACGATTGCATTTTTACATAGGTGACATAGGTGACATGTTTAGTAATCATTGCTGGGTACTTCCTGGTTTTGTATTGCCAAAATACAAAATGCTTCAGTTTCGCGTAATAAGAATCCTTTCTTAAGCCATTGAAGAAATAGTCTCTTTCTGCATCATCTCTTTCAACATTTTACTATCAACTAATCAACAACACACTTATTTTTCAAATAACATTTTCCTCTCATTTGTGACACTTGGAAGTTTTAAATCACCATGCAGGTTTTTATCTTTGTAACATTGTTCCGTTTACTGTTTTTATAATTAAAGCATTTTATAACCATTTTATTGCGTTTGCTATCGTTTTGTCGGGTCCTTTATCTACTGAGTTAACCTATCCTGCCGTCCACCATAGAGTTCCTTCAATTCAAATCCATTGTTCTCTCACGCAAATTTCGTTGTGAGTTTTCAGATTTATACACAATGTCTCATCTTTCATTATTGAATCTCCACCCCTATGGAACTCCATCCTTTCCGACATCCGTAGCTCCAATACTCTCCTTAACTTTAAATCTCGCAATTCAATCACTTCCTATCCATCGAGTTCCCAAACAAATTAATAGGTGTTTCTGTATATATATATATATAAATTATTAATTTGTTTTAAGTATTATTATTTCATGTGAGACCGAGTGTATGGAATTAAGTAATACTGGGAATCATTAACTACATGTTGGAGAATAGGATTTGACCAAACGTACAATTTAAATATTTAGGGCGGTGGCTTTTGAAGAGAGGAAATAGCAAAAAAGATATTGATGAAAAGGTTAAAAATGACTCTACCATTCATTTCTCATAAGTATTTCGATGAATGTCTCAGAAACTTGGACTGCTTAAACCGACTTAACAAGAAAACTGTTATCAATGAAAATGGATTTTTGGAGAGGTAGTTATGGAATATATATATATATATATATATATATATATATATATATATATAATATATATATATATATATATATATATTATAACATGTTCCAAATAGTACCATAAGAGAATCAGCGAGAGAACCGTTTAACGTCCTCCATTCAATTGAGACAAAAAAGCTAAATTGGTTTGGACATGTTGGGTATTTGAACATGTTCCATTGGAAAGGGAGAAGAGAGGAATTTCATGTTTCTTTCATTTAAAAAAAAAAATTGATTTATCTTGATAGAACTTGACTTGTTCAAAAAAAAAAAAAAAAACATATTATTATTTTAGGTTTTTAAAAATCTTTAATATAATAAACAGTTAACGTGTATTTCCCAAGGCTCTTCTGTTATTTTTTATTTTAGTGTGCTGGAAACCTCAAGTCCCTATCGAAAGTAATACACAAGTAAAAAAATGTAATTCATATTCATTTATGTGTTCGAAATGTAAATAAGTTATACAATGGGAAATGGCGGAGTATATATTCAATTTGCGGAAAGGTTGTGTTCTGTGGAAGTAGCAAAAAATATTTGTTTTCAGACTAAAAATGTTTGTGAGAGCGAATCCACTCCCTTATTTCCATGAAACCTGCTCTCATCTCGTACTCGTATTTCAATCTGGCTGTAAATCTGCGGCCTGCCCTGACCACACACACTCGTCCACGAACTACAGAATAAACTCCTTTCGTCTAGTAATTTTTTTTTTTTTTTTAATCTAAATTATTATATTTAGAAAGTCGCCAATTAAAACAAAAACATAGGAGAATGTTTCGTTCTATAGCGAAACTCGCAACCCATTATAGGAACATTATTTTATGGTTTTTAAAGCTTTATTTTTGTTATCCTGAACGTGTCTTGTAAATTTACTGTGGAAAATTCCTTCAATGCGAAAATCTTTGAATGAGGAGAAAATTACTTTGATAATTTTTTTGCTTTTTTATTTACTTTTAATCGAAGTTAATTTTATCTTCATGGCGCTCAAAATTAAACCTAACACATAAATTGGACACTTGACAATTTATCTAATGAAGTCTGAATGGACCTAGACTTCACAGATATGCGGAAAAGCAAAAGTGATCCACATACAAAAACTACAAACTTTTCAGTCATAAACATTCAGAACTATAACTAAACCTCCATAGTACGTCATAAACATTACTTTATTTTAGTTACATGACTTAACAGATAAAGACCTTCACATTCCAACAGTTAAAACCACATACCGACACACTACAAAGGATTCCATAAAAACCAACAACGCAGACATACAACATATGACCGATCTATGCTTCTACTGGTATTGTTCCCGACAGTTGACACTGATCGTCAGTACTTCTGACAGGTATAGTGATAAAGATGACGTTAAAAAAAAATTAAATGCTCAACAATCGATAATGCAATTTCCTAATCTAGACATGTTTTTAAACTCTGTTAGTGCGAGATCAATTCAAGACTCACCTTAGAATTGAGATCGACGTTGCGAAGATTCCTGTGAGTAAGACTGCAACACCAGATACGAGTATGATGTTGATCGTATTGGTGAAGAATCCTGAAAAAAAAAAGGAATAATATAATAAATCATACAATAATTAAAATAATCCTGCAAGAAGTCCTTGCTGGAAGTCACTGATGGACTCCTTTTTCTTTATACATTTAAAAACGCCAGCCAGCAGGGCCATTATAGACGTATTATTTTAAATATGAATCTAGTCTAACAAAGTTATGTAAATTATCTAAGAGACAACAAGAAAATGAAGGAGGTTACCGTATACGGTATATTGATACAGTAATATCATAAAGATTGAAGATTTAGTGTTTCATTTTTAATCCAATCAATCGCTTACTAGAACAAAAAGAACATAGAAACTCAGAGACCCAATGTAAATAAATGAGACTTTTTATTTTAAACTAAATTTCATTCATCCATTTGAAAAAAAAATTGGCAACGAGATTAGCCTAAGAAAATGAGTTCGATTTCCGGTGCCTAACTGTGCTATTAATTCCCCGCCCTCTTCCCTGGCCTGAAAAAAAAAAACGAACAGGCAATGAAGGGTAGACAAACAAAAAAAGAAAGAGGTTTGCCATTATTAATCTCCCAATCAAACATTTTATAAACCGAACTTATAATATTAGTTAGTCATTTTGTGCATAATTTAATGTTCATTAATTCTTGGAATAAGGAATTTTCCGCTTAGATGCCCATGGCGTCCGGGGTCAGATATCGATAACTGAGAAAAGTTTGATGAAACTATTTAGAGAGTTTCATAATTGGTTTTAAAAATTAAAATATTTTTGTAGACAATTAAAGAGCCGAAATTTGACGGTTCATTTAACGGTAGAACGAATGGCTAAAATATTGATATGATTTAAAAAATATGTCCAAGTTTGTACTCGGTGGCGCTTTGGAAACGTCATCAAATTAGTCATGTCGAATAATAGTTGGATGTGGCAAAATTCAAACAGTTGGTTCCTTTTCAGTTTTTTAAAATTTTGTAATGGATGCTGAATTTGAAATTCCCAAATGAAAATTTCCATTGTATTCTGTGATACATGCAAAAAAAAAAAGCTAAATTTTCTAACATTTTTAGTATTGTGGACATCACTCCACAACTATGCATTTTATCAATTATGATAATTTACAAAGTTGAATAAGATAAAATCTCCTACCAATTTTATAAATAGATTTTAGATATAGGACCAACGGATGCGGAGTTAGACTATGTTGACTACTTGAATGGCTTTTATTTGAATTTATGAAGAAGAAGAATGAAGTGGTTTTCAAGTTCAACTAACGCTATGTTGTAAATTTTACAATGTAAATCAAAAACAACTTGAAGGGCTGGTTTGGAGGTGTTTGTAGACCCCTGCATTAGATGAATAAGTCTGACCTGAAGATTGATGGAGTCGTCCTAATCAAACAGAACCCTGCTTATATAAACAATATTATAAAGAGCAGCTAAGGGAATTACATAAATTTTTTTTTTATATTAACGACTGTAATAGATCTGTATCTTCTTTTATTTTACGCGCTAGGAGAATAAATGAATAGATGAGATAATATACAAGGCGTAAATTGACTTGCTTAAATTAAAATTTCAATGTTACTATATTCAGCTTATTAAGTTCGAAAACAAATTGTCGGCTGATTGTGTTCATATATTGAGCTCAATATGTGTAACATCTAATAGAGATAAATTATGAACTTATATCTAAATTGGCAAGTATGAAACATGTTCTTCTGTCTTCGAAATTGCGAGTCATCGGTTTATATATAAATAGAATTTGGTGGCGTACAATTAACGTACAAATTAATTCACAAATCAAAATTGATCAGTATTAACTTATAGATTCGGCATTTGAGAATTTTTTGTTCAGTTTATATATATATATATATATATATATATATATATATATATATATATATATATATATATATATATCACTAGCGGATCCAGGATTTAATTTTGGGAGAGCTTCAGCCAGAACGATTTTTTTTTCGTATATATATATAACGATAATTATTTAGAAAAAAACAGGAAGAAATTAATTACGTATATGAAAAGGTGTTTAAGTGGTTCTTGAAGTCCTATTAAATGTAATTACACTAACAAGAATACTTTTAGAGATAGTTTTTAATATTTTTTTCTGTAAAACATGGTTATATTTCATCATTTTAGGCCGAAGCCCCCTCCCATACATACATATACATACAAAAGTAGTATTTGATTCTCCTATTAGGATGTACAAAACTATCATAAATCGTTCCAACCAACAAAATTTAAAGTTTTAAATTTTAAAGTTCATACTTTTACAAATCAACGAAAATAAAATAAAAGTTCATTCTCATGTGTGCGCAGTTACCTGTTCCATTACACAATCTCTACAAGAAAACATGTATGATTTTCGGAATGATTAAACGTTTCTATCAGAACAAAAAAGTGGCGTGATAGCGTGGGACTACATCATATGATACCCTGAATTTCTTTTTTTCTCCTTTAATCCTCTTCTTTAATCCTGGCTCGTCATAACTGCTTTGTTTACTAAAATTAGTGAGCTTTAACGTGTTTCGACAGACACTTGCTGTGTCCATACTACCCTAAATCGATATCTGGCATTGGTTTAGTGAGTAATTTACGGGGTCAGATTCAACAAACCTGTTTCATGTTGGTCATGACCTACCTAAGGGTCGAGATTCAAGCATTAACATCAGTTGCTAAATCTTACGACCTCCTTGGTATGTTGAAGATTTAATAAAAAAAAATTAAAAATTTTTATGTGTTAAAAAATACATTGAGAAAATGTGATGACTATTTTATTTATTTATTAGGTTGTTTATCTATTATATCTTAGTTTTCTCCTTATTTCTTCCTTTCCGTCACTCTATTTTCAACATCTTCATCTCCACTTTGTATATATTGATACATTTGATAATTTTTTAAAAATTGTATTACAACTTTTTATGCTTTTATACGTAGTCAGTATATTTTGATATCTCAATTTTCTATTTATATTTATTTCTTATATAACTTCATATTCTTTTTCTCTGTTTTACATTTTATTCTAAGTTCGCTATTTTAGTTCCTATCTTACCTTATTTTGATTATGTTTACTTCATTAGTCCGCACTTTTTAACTGTAATTATTATTAATTTATTAGTTCTTGTTATTATTCTGCCTACTTTATTTTACTTTAATGTTCACTTATCTACTTCATATTACTTTTAAGGTTTTCTACCTACACTGTTTATATTTCTCATACTTATTGTTATCTGGTTCTTTTCTCAGCCCTGATCCTTAATCACCTGAACGACCGTTCGAAACGTCGGCAAATGTTGAAATAAATATTATTATGATGTAGAGATGGTTGACCGTTGCTATAATATGAGAAGGAGTTAGTCGAGGGTGCGGTCAAATAAATAAAAAATTAAAATATATTAATTATTTTAATTTTTGCCGACGTTTCGACCCACTTTACAGGTCGTCTACAGGGCGTAGGATGTGGCACTGTCAGTGTTTCAACTGCCTCCCGCAGTGCCATATCCTACGTCCTGGAGACGACCTGCAAAGTGGGTCGAAACGTCGGCAAAAATTAAAATAATTAATATATTTTAATTTTTTATTTATTTGACCGCACCCTCGATTAACTCCTTTTCATATAAATATTGTTATTTATTTTTGCCATTTTTATTATGACTGATCACTCCAATCACCATTCTCTTCATTATTCACTACATTCAACCACTAACCCACAATTATTTTATTTATTTTTGTTTAATTTATTTAATTCATTATTTTTTACTTTTAACCCTAACTTCTAAATGTTTGAATCAAGATATTTGAAATCGATAATTATTTTTTACACAAAATCATGTAATATTATTATATTTGGTTTTTAATTTAAAAATCATGCCTGATTTGTACAAATATAAATCGATTTCTAATGTTTATTGATTCGATTAAAAATAATGATCGCTCACTTAATTAATCACTAATGATTAATTTGTGATAAAAAAATGTGTTGATCAGAAAGTAAACATCACCTTTTACACATAAATTAATATATTAACATGGTCGATCGAATTTGAAAATCACCATTCTAATATAATAATATCAATTCAGCCCAAACTACGTAGATTTTTTAATTTACACAATAATGTGTATTTTTATGAATATTTGAAGATTTTTTATTCGTTCTTTAGAAATATTTAGTTACAAACACAATCGTTGGAGTGCAGGATTGAAAAATTTTTATAGCCTTTTTTTGTTTTTTTTTTCTAAAATGTTTTATATTCGATAGTTAGCATTTGTATCGGTGATATAAATGAATATATTATTAATGTACACATTTTTTAATATTATATTTTTGATATCGCCCTAATTGGACACACGGTACCTGTTGAGGGGAAGTTTTCTGCAGTAAAGTACTGAGGCAGTTTATTGAGTATATATATATGTGTGAGTGTGTGTGTGTGTGTGTGTGTGTGTGTGTGTGTGTGTGTGTGTGTGTGGGTGTATGTGTGTGTGTGTGTTTTTTAAGCCAAAATTTCTAATGAATTCCTGAAATGAAGATTTTCTTTATTAGACTTTGTTAGAAATAAATAATTTGAACATCAGTTGTTAGTTAACAGTTACTTTGTACTAAGATAATTTTCTACTGCCTAGGCGACTGTTTTTGCCAAGGAGTATGTTGTGTACGGTTGTGACATATTTTATGAAGAGCTAATCAACAAACGTAAGCAAGCGGAACATATGCTAACAGATCTATTGTCCTTTTGACATTTGTTGACCTTTGAAATGGTAAGCTTTTGCTAATCCGAAGCAATAAGTTAGCAACGATTCCTTTTACGTAAAAAAGATCTATAAGGAAAGTCACTTTGTCTGCTAAGTGACTGTACGATCCTCTTCCAAGGTCCTTTGGCAGGACACAGGATTGCATGTCCTTCGGAAGTCATCGCTATTGTCTCTAAGACCCGTCCAATAAAAGGGGAAAACAAAGGAGTTGAAAGTCCTCTTATTGCTCGCCGTTCAGAACCACAGCTAAAAATGGAAGGTTTGCCAAGGCCCATGTTTACCATGAAATCTTTAGATTATCCTTGGTTATTTGAGAATGATATGAAAAAATATTTCAGTTCTAATATATATTTATATATTAAGGTTTTCAATGTTGTTTTAAAAATCGCATATAAATGTCAATTGTTAAGAACAAAAATAAATAAGGTGTGTGCTTTAGACAACATGACAGAAATAAAAACATCTACTCGGCGAGATTAATAATATGAAATGTAAATTACAAATAATAACGTATTATGAAGAGGACCAAATACTGAACATTTTCCTCGCTTAAAGTATGCAGGTCCGATTTTTAGGTTCTGAAATATTTCAATTCATATCTTTAATAAAACTCGTTATCATTTGGTTCTCGATACTATTTTTTTTTCCTTTTCTTCGGGTTAAGATACAATTTAGAATAATGACCATTACAGAGAGGACGAATTACTGAACATTTTCCTCGCTTACTGTATGCAGGTCCGATTTTCAGTTTCTAGGGTATTTTAATTCGTATTATCTATAAAGCTCGTTATCATTTGGTTTTCGAGACTATTTTTCCCTTTGTCGCCTATCTAACACAGCACTTCGTTAAGATAGAATTCTATTTATAGCTCATTACAAAGAATGATGAACATTTTCCTCGCGAACAATATGCAGGTCCGATTTTTAGTTTTTGTGATATTTTAATCCATATGAAAAACACTTCAATTAGCCGACTTCAGCCGAAGCACTGTATTAGAAAAAACTTTATCAAGCACGGTAAAAAACAATAATATAATTGCTAAGTTAAGATTCCAATAGATAAATTAGTTTTTGTGCATACATATTGCATATTTATTTATTTTTTAAAATTCTATTCTATTCTATTAATCTACTCATTTTTTTTCGTATTCGGATATCAAGAACTTTGTTATAATGGACTTATGAATTTCTGCTCCCTTTGAGTTTCTTGTTACGAGGATTTACTGCATGAATGTCTCCTATGTTTGTTTTTAACTGATGTGATTTAAGTTGACAAAAGTTAGAAAAAAACAATTTTCATAGTGTTAGAGAGCATTTCGTTAGCGGTAAATGGGACTTTTGACCACTTTTTTTTTTTTTTTTCGTTTTATCATTTGTTTCAAACTTTTGACCTTCTATTCTATTTAACAAATAACTTCATCCTGCAGTTCAGTTTAAATATTACGTGAACCACGGACTTGGCTATATTGTTGCATCATATTGTTTCTAGAGGTTTAGAATTGGTTTTTCTTTTTTTTTCGGACGGGTTATTAACAGACGTTATTATGTTTCTATACTTTCTCTGTAGTTTTATATTATGAAAACGAATAAATTATATTAGGTATAAATTTATTGATGTATAAATATAAATAGGATTTTTATCTTATCGGTTTTCTATAAACTCTCTTCACTGAGTATTCCAGATGATTACCAAATCCGGCAGTTGCAGCAGCTGATTTACGTACTCATCATTAGCAGTGGATTAAACAAATATTTTGATTATAGTAAGAAGTTTGCGGTCGTTGGCGCAACATATTTTTCCAATAGAATAACCAAACTCCAACATCGTTGAGTAATAAATAATCTTAGGAAAATACGAAATTCTAGAATTTATTAAGAAATAACTTCTTTCCGAACGTATTTTACCCATGTCAACAAATTAAGCAACAGAAAATTATATTTATAACTAAAAAAAAACACACAAAAATATTTTTAATGATATATTAAAAGTTTCAAAACTGGTTTATAGCTCAGTAACCTTTTCATGAAAAGTAGAGTTTAAGTTGCACCGAATGGGGGGAGAAGGTTCCTTTTTTTTTCTTGTACGGGTGGTAAATGAGATGTAAAATTCAAGTTTTTTACCTCGGTACAAGTTTTTACCTTCTCCCATCCCCGGATCACTTTTTAAAACACCCAAAACTTCTATATTTTTGAACTTTTAAAATTTTTTTTTTCCATTTTGATCATGAAAGAACACGTTTTTGACAAAAAAAAAAATCCATGCCACAATTAAGGACCAAAGCAGATTCGGTAAGTTTAATAATTTTGGAAATACAGGTTTTCAAAGTTTTGGAAATTTTCGAACTTGAATATTTTAAGCTATTTTTTCTGTTTGTTCATATGCACTTGTCTTTATATCTTCAATAACCTGTCTTATATGATTCATGGAAGTTAATTTTTACATTTTGAAGGAAGGGTGAGGGAGGAGGGGAGGTTTGGTGGGAGAGGGAGAAATCGATTTTTTGAACCAAAAGTCTGAAATTGAAATAAAAAATGTATTTAACCAGCATTTACATCAAGTACATACAAAAATTGAAAATGAAGTAAATAAAATTATCGAAACTTGAAAATGTTAAGCTAATTGCATGTTGTATGTCTTCAATAGTCTCCCTTATAAGAGTTAGTAAAGTAAAAGTTTATTTAAGTTATTATTTTGAAGGAGTTGGATACATGGATCTAGGAATGGCTATAAATAATTGATAAAATGAGTGAGCTAGAATGGCCTGAGTCATTTATTGCGTTCGTAACATTTTACTTTTTTCATAGACGCCCTAAAAACTGTTTCAAATATGTTTAAAATTAATCAGTGATCTAAAAAGACAAATGTATTCTCTAGATGTTTTTTTTCAGGACGTTTTTCGTTATTTTTGACCGTTTAATTACAAATTACGCTTGATTTTCAACTTTAGTTTGCACTACTTGAAAAAATTGACATTACTGGTTTTTTTATTGCCAAGACCAATTATTATTGTTTTTTAAACTTTATTTTTGTTAAACTCATAACTGTTAGGGATACCAACAACCAGCGAGTGTGCTGTCGGGAAGAAGAATGTAGATGAATACATTGGCAGGCGTGAGGGAAAGGAGTGCCCCGCGGCGTCCCTTCCTAACTTGATTTTATGTTTATAGTCAGTAAAGGAAATCTCTCATCCAGCTTCTTTTGATCTTCCTACGATTGGCTTCAGGCATATTGGTTATGGCCATACCTCGAATCAGTGAATTGGTATGTCCGTGTAATTTATTGTAAAATCGTTTGTAGTATGTTCGTATGTGGTCTTTAACTGTTGGCATCTGTAGGTCTTTTTGTAAAGTAATGTTACTGACGTACCAGGGAGCCTTGGTGATAGTTCTGAAAGTTTTAGATCTGAAGAAAATCTGTAGTTTAAGTATATAATAGACGTAAATAAGTAAGTGTATGTATTCAATTTTAGGCTGTTTTAATTTCGAATGTCTTGAAAGGAGTGAATATAGCAGTCGTATTCTTTGGAGTGTTTTTATCTTGTTCATGATATGTGGTATATTATTTTTTTTTAATGCTTTAATATGCTCTGACTATCCAGCTTTAATAAAACACGAATTATGATGAAATTAAGCCAACTACTGAATCTCAGTGACTGAAAAACTAACTCTAAAACACATATATCATAAAATAATTGTTAGCTCTATGAAACTAAATTAAAAAAAAAAAAAAAAAAAAATATATATATATATATATATATATATATATATATATATATATATACTCAAACTTACCCGTTGGTTCTTCGCATTCAACTTCTTCACAATTTTCCGTCCTGTTTGGAGGCAGTAGTGGAGTTGCCCAACCATTGACCAACGTCTTTGAGTACAACGTCTCCCTGCATGAAAATGATATTTAGGATACCACAAACACTAAAATTAAAATTTTGTGTTCATATTTATAATATAACGTTACTTACTACCTCTGATATATCTACCATGATTTTAAGTCAGTAATTTGTTTCTAATTACTTTCATTTATTTTTCATGTATGTATACATTGTATGAGTGGTTACCTTTAGTTGGAATACTTATTGCCCTTGGGTCTAGTATATTGTTTTATTTCCAATAAATAATAAAAAATTGTAAATAATAATTGTATAAGTGTTATGCTTAATATATATATATATATATATATATATATATATATATATATATATATATATATATATATATTGTGTTTATTTTCATAAATGATAAGACTAGTATTAAATCTTTTAGAAAGAAGACTTTGCTGCTAACTTATAGATCCACTACTTATGCTAAGTACAGGAGGAGATGAAAGGAAGGCTTTATCAGCTGAATCTTATCGCAATGGCAGCCTTTCAGTTAGATTGCAACTCGAGGCTCTCGGCAATTTTCGTTCACTTCCTTTACAAGGTATAAACATTTTGATATTTACAGTTTACAAAATCTGCAGGCCTAATTAAAATAACTGATATAGATAAACTATTTAAATATAATTTTTTTAGTACAATCATAAAATTAAATCCATAGAATATTAATGAACACTGTTTTATTATTTTTTTATTAATTTCCCAAAAACGATAAATTACTCATGGGCCTACATGTAATTATATAGTTTAGTTTGAATCTATTTTTTTATTATTATTTTTTTTATTCATTGATATTGCAACTGTATTATAAAAAAAAATACATCGAGTAAATGTGTACTCAGGAATATAATAACATGAAATCGCCTGTTGAGAAACTACCCACTGATAGCAGTCAAATAATAAATTTATACAAGATCAAGGGGCCACCTTCCTTTCAGACGCCTTGGAGGGTTATCAGGGATCGAGGAGAAAGCAAATTTTAAAACGAGAGGGGTACGGAAGATTGTTATGGAAGGATAGATATCTGGATTGGGCCAAATCGGAAACATATGGAACATTAAGGTCGTTATGGATGATTTTAATTGTGATAAAGTAAGGAGCATTGAGAATTTTAAATTGTAAGGATTGGATAAGAGAGTCCAAACAGACCTTATCATTATCATATATATATATAAATCGTTTGTAATTGATTCCAACGGTTTCTTATCGTTTCAGTCTTGTATGAGTTTGAATATAAATATGATTTTTACAAGTAATAAAGAAGGTATCTTTGATTAAGACTACTATGGAATTCATAGTAATTTTTTTCTCTCGACTGTTAGAAAGTATTGGCCAAAACCCTCGGACGCATGTTTAATATTTTTATTATCTTACATTATTACTGTTTTTCTTAGAGTATGGAGAGACTATTTACCAGCAGACAGCCTTGCATTCACTTCGATTTTTATTCTGTTCATCTTTTACGACAGAACCATGGTACCTAAAAGAGTTTTTAAATATTTCTTCTTTCCTTCATAAACATGAACGCTCACATCTGTCGCTTCCCTTTCAACCTCTTCGAAAGCTCTTCTAAGCTCTGCAGTGCTTCTAGCTGTTATGAGTATATCGTCGTACGCAAATGGAAATTCAAAGCAACGATAATTACTTTTTTTTCGACATTTTCGAACTTTGCACCTTCACTGGGTTCCTGAAGAACAAATGATAAATAAAATTTTCACAATCTTACATTCTACATTCACGTTAGAAGAAGACTTCTAGCACTGTTTCAGACAATGGGAGATTCGAATGTAGGGATAGAAGATAGTTATTTATTGATGGTTGTAATAAAGAAATAAACAGCCTTATATGGAAGAAAACTGTTGCCAGGGATACCTACAACCTACTCAACATCTCCAACTGGCGAGAGACCAAAACGACAGTGTACAAAAACACTTTCCTCTCAATAATGACCTACTCAAGCGAGTTATGGACCCTCATCACAAAACACATCAGTCAGATTTAGGCCATGAAGATGTGATTCTTGCTCAGGGTCGAAGTAAAAAAAAAAACAGATCGTATAAGGAACTCCATAATATGAAAAAATCTCAACGTAAGAACAGCCAAAACTGTGGTGGAAGAAAATCGTTTGAAATGATTTGGTGGAAAATAAAGGGGAGAAGACCTCAGGGAAGGCCCAGGAAGACCTCGGAGGTCAGTGTCAAGGAGACCTTTGAAAGGAGGGATATTGACTGGAGGAGGAGGCGGCAGTTGGCTCAGTCATAGAGAGTTGTGGATTCGGCTCAACAAGAAGGCTCCTCACCCCGCTCAGTAGTAGAAGAATAAACGATTAAGAAGAAGAAGAAGATGTATAACATTTGTAAATCCAATAATTACAAAATATTCATTAGTTGGCGAAAAAGAAACTTGGCGTACTGAACTTTAGTTCTAACCCTCTTATATTTCTAAAAAAAGGTATTGGAATTGAAAAAAATGTTCTATGGATAATATTTATAATGTTTTGTTATTATGTTTATATATTCCCTGAAATATCTTATGTAGCTGACTCTGACACGTTCAACTCAATCATACACCGGAACTATAAGAACAGAGAAACAGCTGAGGATAAGTTGTTCTGAAACTCGACTTTATACTGCTTCATTCTGGAGTTGGCCGACAACCACATTCATTATTCCCACTCTAATTAATTATTCCCCATGAAGAAAGTTACACCCACAGCGGTTCGAGTGGTTTCAGCCTAACATGCCCTAATTATTCTAGCTAGTTTGTCAAGTTTATTACCCATGAATCTGATAAGTTACACACACATCTGTGTGACTACAGCTGTGTGGTGTACGATGGCCTCTCGGTGGAACTGCGTGATAGACTCAAAAGACTTATGAATTGCTTCGTAAGATTTGTAATTGGAACCCCGAGACGCTCCCGTGTCTCTCACCACTACACTGAGTTAGGGTGGCTCTTCCCCTCCTTAAGAAGACAATATTTCCTTGGCACTTTCCTTTATCAAATCATTACCGATCATCGTCCTTCTTATGCCTACAACCTTCTCCAATTTAAGTCCTCAATCCATTCTCTCACTACAAGATCCCGACCCTCTGACCTATACATCCCTTCTCATAGATCTGCCTCATTCCAAAATTCCTTTATAGCCCGCTCTGTCAACTTTTGGAATTCCCTCCCGATCAAAATTCGACATGCCCCTTCCCTGTATACATTCAAAAACCTCCTATTCCAATTCCTGTTCCAAAAACAGTCTGATACCAGCTAACTATTGATATTATATATGTATTGAGTAGCAATCATATAATCATAACACTTGGTAATAGATAGTACATGCATTTCCTACTATCGACGTAGGAATTTCAATACATACATTTTTTTTTATATATTTTTTTTTTTATTCAATTATAAGTAACTGTTTATTTTTATATATATATTCAAGTAAAGTTTTTTTTTTTTTTTTATGAAATGAACTCATTGTATCTCTTTTTCGTTCTTCATTTCTCAAAGTGTATGTTTATGTTGTTCAACCCTTAAATATAATTTTGTTCATAGTTCAAGTGATTCGTTCATAGTTTTAATTGTTTTGTTCATAATTTTAAATGCTCTGTGCATAGTTTTATCTGTTTGTATATAGCTTGTGCACCTAAGATTTTCTTTACTTTTTATTTTATTTTATCAATTTTATTTATTGTTTCAACGTTCAGGCCAGTAATATTCTATTATTTTGTACATTATTGTTATTCTGAAGGGACTTAGTCCCAGAATAAAGTTTTTTTTTCTATCTATCTATCTATCTATATAAAGATATATATATATATATATATATATATATATATATATATATATATATATATATATATATATATAAGTTAAACGTCGCTGACTTTAAACACTTAAAAAAAAGAGTAAAGGTTCAACAAACAACACGCATGAAGTCGGAAACAAGACTGCTTTATTGCTCCTTATAATCCTCTATATATACATTCTGAGTTGTTTACATAAATGCTTTTGGTATTAAAGCTAATACTGTCCCGCTCCGTACCTTAACTTATATATATATATATATATATATATATATATATATATATATATATAATATATATATATATATATATATATATATATAATACATAATATGGAACATAGTTCCCCTTTTTAGTTATTTCTTTTTAATGTAATAATTGTTGATTTATAAGTATTCTAAATATAATTTTTGTTCTAAAAATTTCAAAACAATTTTCAATTTTTTTTTCTTCATTTTTTCAACTATATATTTTTATTTCCAGATCGACTTTTTAAGCCATAAATTGGCATTATAACATTAAGTAAATTTTAAACAGTTACCAAAAAAGAGATATACTGGTACCGGCAAGTCCGGCAATTGGTCTTCAACAAGTCTTTTTACCTCGGTCTCCAGGTTTTCTTTATAATAATTTATCCTTTTAATGTATCTACCATAATAATTCTGCTGTCCTGTTACTCATGTTCTTGGGCTATCTAATTTTATTTCGCCATATTCTAGGAGGCGGGAGAGTAGTGATTAGTATTATTAGTGTAATAATCATAAAATGTTATTTCAGCTTTATAATTCACCTGCTGTCTTGAAATTATGCTTTTTTTTTATGTCCTTCAGTCCTTTTATTTAATTAATTCTTAGATTGGCTTGATTATTATTTTGTATTAACTAAAATAGTTTAATAACATACGTTTGTCGCTTTTAATCATAATATCCATATTAATAAATGTAATAGAACTTACTGCTTGTCGTGCCTGACGACGTGCTGGTAGAAAACTTGTCTCCACCTTACAGAAGAACTGTTCCCGTCCAAGGCCCAGAGCATGAACCCTTCCACTTGGGATCGGAGGTTGTTCTGGGAGCTCTCCGTCGTATCTTCCAGCACCTGGAACGAGGAGTTGAGGATTCCATCCAGGCTGTCCGCCTGGAAATCAAAGAAGCAATGATTAGCTACCTGCTTCCAGAGCGGCATTTAAATAATAATAAAGTTGTTTATTTATCCTGGTACTAGTAATATGTATTTTCAGAGCGTTTAGATGTAAAGAAAATATACTTAACACTTAATAAAAAATAACTAAAACAATAAGAAAAATACACACCTACATTAATAAAAAAAAAATAGTCATCTATTTTTTTGTTGATTATGAAAATAAATTATAACACTATATTTTCAAATTTATACAGTTCGGCAGTACAGATTTCTTTTTCGGTTTTCATGAGCAATGGATTTTAATGAATGAATTATCAAACGAAAAGAAATTGCATTGAGAATTGACGAATCCCTATTTCGATCCTTAAAATTCTCCAAAAACTTAAAATCATTCAAATAAATTCTGAGAAGTCTAAAGCACAAATGGTTTCATTAGCCGATGGATAGAGAGGAAATAAATTCAATTTTTAAAGATTTTAATTGCAAGACATCAACACCCTATTATTACAAATATTATTATTTTTTTTAATTTATTTTTTAAATTCACACCTGTCACAGCCTGTTTAATAAGCGGATGCAAGGTTTATTGATAGAATTGGCGTGAAGGAAGTCTGTACCCGTCGGCACCTACTCCTTACTTGAAATAAAAAAAAATCAGGAGATCTCTTAACTTATTTTATATCTTTTTCAGCCTTCGTCCGATGTTTTCTGGCATATGCGTTGTGGCCATATTTTATATAAGTTTGTTAGTATGTACGTGAAGTTTGTCATGAAATTTTTTGTATGAAGTCTGAATGTGGATCTTGTACGATTGGTACGTGTAAGTCTGTATTTAATGTAAGTCTGTATTAGTTTTTGTAATAAGTTTTTGGATGAAAATTATGTGTTTTTATTTGAATTTTTTTAGCTATTCCGTAGATTTTTCGTGCATATGTCCATATGGGTTTATGTAAGTAAGTGTAAGCTTTTAATATTTGTCCTATATTTAAAGTAGATCGTTTCTGCAAGAGAGAATACAAAAGTTTTATTCGATTATTTAGGTTCAGAGGTTTCTTTTTCATGTGTGGCCTAAGTAATCATCCTGTCGAACGTGAAGCTAACGAACTGTGCAAGTGTTGTATGGGAACATTGTTTATCTAAACTGGAGTACAGGTGCCATGTCGGAGCGTGAACATGATATGGTGGAATTTTTCGCTATTGAGTTTAATTTTCCAGTTTTTAAACCGTTCCTGTGTGTAATGTGTGATTAATGTATTGTAATGTACTGTACTGTAATATAATTAATGTATCATTTCGAGATAATCCACGATTTTGGCCGAAAGCCTCTTAGGTGGTATGGTTGTCATACATCACACTATTTTTAAAAAAATCAAAAAATTGCTATTTATAATAGCCTTCGACGGTTTAATAATCTATTGTAAAAGTAAAAGCAACAAGAGGAGAAGGTATGCATCGGATATGATATATAATCGTAAGAGGAATTTTCAAGTAAAAGAAAATTAAAATAACAAAAAAATTATAATCTCTAAGGTATATTATCTATATCTATAACCTTTCTCTACGGAACAAAAATTAATATTGCTCAACAAATAAATTTTAAAAAAGTTGGAGGAAACTTACAGGTGTATATAGGTATGTATGCCTTTTTTTTTAATTTTCTTATTTTTAATTTATTTTATTTTATTTATTGTATACACTTTATGATTATTATTTATTTGTTATTTTTCTTCTGTTTATTTTATATTTTTTTGTATATATAGTGTGAATGAGATCTCATCTCCCTGTAACCAATGTCCAATGTGATAGAATGTTGTAATATTCAATAAATAAATAAATAAAAAAATATTAAAATTTTTCATAAGTCCTAGGGGAGATGCTTATTTATATAAGGTATATGAATAAAGTTTAGTAACAGTATTCTCCAAAAAATTGTTGAAAAAGGAATGAACCAACATTTTAAGGATTAAAAAAAAATAACACAAAAACATTATTGCATTTTTAGAGATGCTTAAAATAAAAATTATGACAATCCTTTAAAAAAAAAAAAAAAAAATGATAGAAATACAAGTTAGGGTATGATTGGCAAATCTTTTATTGATATTATAAGTTATAAAGATAATATATAAATACAATTAGCAAAAATGTTTCTTGTTTCAAGTCTGAAGATGGGATGATAAAGTGATCCCGAAACGTCATATAAATAAAGACAATTTTTTTGGGAGAATAAACTGTTAGTAAACTTTATTCATATACCTTATAATTATTTAAAGTTTCTAATTTAGCACATTTATATTTATGACTATCAAATATTTAAAAAAAATATATTGCGTATGGGGTTTTAGTATTAATGTATTCTTTGGCGGTTTATATTTTTATCAGTGTTTGAATTGGTTCTATCTTTTTTTTTCTCATTATATATAAAAATAAGGGAAACACGTTATCTTCTAAAACTCTTTCTGTTTTAAATGTTTTAGAGTGATCAGCCCTATTAAATCGAGGGAACTGTAGGATGAGGTAGGGCACATTAAGAGAGGAATAAAAAAAAAAAGAAAAAAAAAAAAAGAATTATACAAAGAGGGTAGTTTAAAAGTTGGCCATGGCGGCCATTAATTCGCCCCAGCTCCCGCTAACTTGGCCCAATTACTATCGGCAACAGCTGCGGCCTGGAGTGTCTTCTCTAGGAGCATTTATTTTTTTTTAAGAGATATTTTACTGTTTATATTTATTATATCTTAATCTCGTCTGATTCTCGATTTACCTCCTACTTCTTCTTTTTGAACTTACCCATGATTCGAAATCTCAATGAGTCCATGTATAGTATATACTAGTAGTATATGGATCTGTGAACATATGTCTAAGAACAATATGATATTGCTGTCCGCAACGATCTGCCAATATAGTTTTTGTTAAATTCTACTCCATAGCCACACAGCGGCCTATCTTCCACAGCGATACAGATAAATAGTGCATGCTCGTGTCTGTATGCAAGAGAATTTATTTGGTCCTTACAGCAGTAGCTGGAAGCGTTTTGCACCGACATTACGTATTGATACGATGGTCGGTAACTCTTTGTTAACCTAAAAACTAAAGAAATGGTGAGTTGGAAATTTGAATTGCTGCAGTAGTCGATGTACGATATTATGAAGGTTTGCGGAACTAATCAATCATTCGAGAAACAATTTATTGAATAATTAAGGCTGAAGATTCGCAAATTCAATACTTAATTAAATTAGTATCCAGAAGCAGAAAAAGAACAAAGAAATATAATTCACAAGCGAAAATAAATGATATTGGAATATATAACGTTTAATGTATTAATTTGTACTACTTGAACTTTATTGTAGTTTTCTCCTTTTTCCCCTCCTTCCTTTGTATATATTGATACATTTGCTCCTTTATTTTAACTCTTTGTTCTATTATGCGTAGTCAGTACATTTTGATAGACTTTACAATATCTCAATATTCTATCTAAATATTGTATTTAAAATATCTTAATTTCTTATATAACTTCATATTCCTTTTCTCTGTTTTACATTATATTCCAAGATTACCAATTTCGGACTTATACCATTTTGATTATGTTTACTTCATTATTCCACTCTTTGTAACGGTTATTATTATTTATTTATTACTTATTATTATTGTCATTATTCTACCCACTTCATTTTACTTTAATATTTTCTTACCTACACTGTTTATGTTTCTCATACATTGTCATCTGGTTCTTTCCTTAGCCCTGATGGAGGCCTGAACTTCAGCTCGAAATGTTAAAATAAATATTATTATTTATTTTTACCTTCCTATTTCTATGACTGATCCCCCCAACCATCCTTCTCTTTATTATTCACGATAGTCAACCATCAACCCACAATTATACATGAACTTTAGTATTATTCAAATTTGAATCGTATTAATTACACTAAAATTAAAGTACAGTTCACTATATTAATTACTCTACACTGTAAACAACGATACATGAAGTTAAAGGATTAAAAAACTTCCGCTGATGAACTCATCGAATTTCGATTATTGGAAATTCCACCGACTCTAGTCAAAAGGCCGCCAACTGCCTTTCCTTGAACGCAAACGTTCTTCATTTGAAATTCTCATTGGACTAGATTCACCGAACGTTCAAGGCATGCGTAACATATGGGGCTTTGGCCAATGAAAAAGCTTCAAGAATCCCATTTGATCAAAAAAGTAGCAGCGACGGAATTAATTGTAATACAATTTGGAAATAAATCAGAAATAAAACTGTACAGTATTATATAAACTTCAAGGACCAGAAAGTCGATTACGGGAAGTATTAGACTTTGCCAATTTATCTAAAGACACGTTCATTGAGATGTTAAACAGCAAAATACATGCAGAGAGAATGAATTAAATTCGAGTGAACTATCGAAAACTTCGAAAGAAAAGCTGCAACATAATAAGTGAAAAACCTCATTATATTTAAATTTTTAAAGAAATAAGTCAAGAATTTTTTTAAATTCTTAATGTAGGCCAACTTTGGATCACGAAATCATCACTTATTCCTTTATGTCGTTACTTTTCTCTCCTTCCACACATCTTCGTTCTTTAGGAGTCCTGTGCCTTCCTTTCCTATTACTGCCTACTTGCAGAACTTACATTTGGTCAACACGTTTCAGGACCCTATCTATACAACCCTCTCTTGTTATATTTAGTTTATCTATTTTATCCGTTATCAGTTCCGGATAATGCTTTATATTCTTGAGTCCAAGCATTCAGTAAAAAAAATTCTTATTGAATCTATATTCATCTTTACCATATACAAGTAAAGTCCTTTTCTTCGTATACTTTTGTATATTTCACAATTATCCCTCATTCATTAATCCCCTACTAAGTGGATCTTGGTAACAGACTGAAGAGAATTATGATCAGTTTTGAAGTCCCCGTGTCTTCTACCGCTACGCTGAGTTAGGGTGGATCTTCCCTTCCATTCGTAGACAATACTTTCTAGACACATTTCTTTT